GAGAATTGTGTTTAGAATATAAAAAATATATGTTATTTATACACCATATAGTTTACAATTCTTTTCTTGATATTATTTTTATAGGATATTTTTTAAAGTATGGTGTTATTATTTTAAAAGATTAGTGTTTAAAACTTTTAAAAAACTTTCAAAATATTCTTGAAGATCTTGAAAAAAAAAACAGAAATCTTAATTTTAAATATAAAGATATATTTTATAATTTTAGATATAACTAAATAAGGGCTAACTAATTAAGGGGTAACAGATTCTATCTGTTGATAATAAAAGACCAGGGTTGATATTTGACCGGGGCCGGGTTTGATAAAATATAACTGGGGCCGGGGCTGGAATTGTTAGCTGGGCTGCATAAACATTTATACATCCTAAAATATTTTTTTTTAATTTAAAATTCATGTTATATTTTGTATATATATATAAATATATAAACATCATTATGATCAATATGATCATCATAATCATCATTATCATCATTATCATCATTGTTATCATCATCATTATCTCCATCATGAACATCATGATCATCATAATCATCATTATCATCATTGTTATCATCATCAACAACATAAAAGAAAAAAGTTTGGTGATGATGATGACAATTATGATGATAATCATCATCATTATCATCATGATCATCATAATCATCATCATCGTCTTTATTATCATCATCATCATTAGGCTTTAGCCTTTCTCTTTTAAGCTATTTCTCCAATATAAACAATCTTGAGCATTTTTATATTATATATTATTTATTTATATAATAATATTTATTTTTAACTGAAGCTCATTTATACAATATGTAAGGTACTCTCTTCAAATTGTCTTACTTCTACTACAATCATTTTCTACTAAAGCTGCTACCACTCTACATGTTGATACCTAAATTACTTTAACATTTCCTAACAAACCTTGTTTGATACAACGTTTTTTCTAATCTGTTTAAGATTATATCTCTTTTTCTTGTCTTGCTAGAGTCACACCGCACATCCATCTAATCATCTTTTCTTTCAGAAAATACTACACCATATAAATACTAAAGTTTATGTAACAATAAAATGATTTTGTATACCAGCATCTAAACAAATAGCAAACAGATATGTTTATATCCATAAAATGTGTACAAAAAGTACATCTTTATATATTGCTTCTGAAATAAAAGTTTGGAAGCTTTTACTACTTTTCTTCATTTTTAAGTCAAACCTCATTCTACTCCACATTTTTCAATGTTAATCCCTTTTTTTATCTTTTTTATAAGAACATCTTTCTTAAGAACAAATGTCCTTTTTATTATTACAATAAGCTAATGTATAAATAAAGTCCTGTCTGATGTAAATCTCTGTTATTCTCAGTTTACTAAATCTTGTCTCTTATCTCAAATGTTAGGTTCTAGAAACTTTTAGTTAGTTTTCAACAGTGTCATTAACTAAAGTGAGTCTAACATTTAATCTCTAATTCATGCGTCTGAGCTTTTTACTTTTCCCCAAAATAAAGCAAAGCTATTTACAAAGAAATCTTACTCTAGTTTGACTCTCGAATATAACTGCCATACTCTTCCTGACAGGTTAAACAGATTAACCCATTGTTAAACATTGAAAATACTCTGGCTTCCAATACTAAAATTAATTCTCAATTAAACACTTCTGCAGTTTGTGCTTCAGACAAGATTTCCATCATAGTCTTAAAAAAGTGTTCTCCAGAACTCTCTTCAATTTTTGCTAAACTTTCAAAAAAGTGCTAAACATTTTCCAATTTTTCAAAACTCTAGAAAACACTTTGACCTCTCCAAGTATCCTACGATTACTCTTCACTCTGTTATTAGTTTCTTATAAGTTTCTATGTAAAGGCTTTGAGGTTTTTAAATTATTTCTTTCTAACTGCAGTAGTAAAGTTATTCTTAAAGACCTACCCTCTTCTTTATTTCAAGTAACTTTAAGGGTACCACAAGGTTCTATATTTGCTCCTGTATTATTTCTTATCTACAATAATGATCTTAATTAAATCTAAAGGCTGAAATGAAATGAAATTTGCTTGGCTATTTACTGATGACTCAACTTAATACTCTTTTCTTGACAAAAAATTTTCACTTTTTAATTGCTTAGAACAAGCAGCCAATTATAAATCTGATCTCTTTTCTGTAAAAGCCTAAGGCTTGCAGTGGATTATGGATTTAAATTTTGGACTTCAAGTCCACAATTTTTGTTAGACAACAAAACTCATTTATTTACTGCAAAAATATATTGCAATATTGTTGGCATTCCTATATTGACAAATAACAACCCTCTCACTCTCAGACCAAGCCTAAAAGCACATTGTAAATGTAATTAGACCTGCTTTATCTGCTTTATATTGTTATAAGGTAGCATTTCTTTCTTTATTCTACAAATATAATCATGGTCAATGCTTAAACAAGCTATCATATCTATAACGATAAACCAAAACTCATTCTTGCTTGGCTATTTATTCAACAAGTTGCATTCTTTTACTGTATTTGTCTCTTTTTGCTATAAAACCTTTTTATAGCATGATAATTAATCCAGTTTTTTTCCTTGAACATCAAAAAAACCTTATAACTCTTACCCAACTTCATGTTTTCCTTTTTTATACAACTTGCAATTTTATGTCTTTAGTTATAGAATTCCTAGTAATTTAACTGATTCTCTATTTTAAAGTAACTTATTACTTAATAGTGATTGCTTGTAATCTTGTTGGAAGTAAATTAGAGTTTAAAAGTATATAAATGTATGCCAGTATTTAATAAATAGTAAATATAAGCATAAAATTATAATATATTAAGCATTATAATTTTTTTTTTAGATCGGCTATTAACCCCTGCTAAATCTTATAATTTTGCAGGGTCCGGGTTTGCAAAAATGGTTTTTGCAAACCTGGGTCACTTACTATCTGTTGACCAGCTTCGCACTCTTTCTTCATCTATTAGGTTGGCATAGATGTATTTATATTACAATTAGTTTCCAGTTTTGGATGTTGAATGCAGTATCTTCTTGGCTTAATGCATGGATTTTGCTTGTGTCTTGTGTTTTTAAGACTAGACAACTCATTTTACTATCTCCTAATGAAGGTACAACACTAAAACTCAGTTTTATGGTTCTAAGGCTGGCTGGTAGTCAGGTTTCTCAGACTTTGTGGTAGCTCTCAGAGATGCTGATTTCATCAACAGCTGTAAAGTATCAGAGTACTGACAGTGTCATGTATTGCATGGGTGGTGTTCCTGTTCGTACTTTTGGTGTGCATTTTTGAGGCTACATTTATAGTCCTTTGTTATGGCTTAGGGATTATTATTAGTGATGGGGCTATTGCTTGGACTATTCGTGTACTGAGTACTTATCTGTGCTTTAAGTCAAGTTCTTTAACCGACTTCACCACCAAGTTCTTAAAATCATTCACAAATCTTTGTAGTCTTTGAAGTAACTTTTCTTCTGTTGAGTCTTATCTCTTGCAAAGCTCACCAGACTTACTTGCTTTTCGTGAGACTAATTAGAGTTCAGCTGTATCATCTTGTGATTTTTGTGTTTATCGTCCTTTAATTCGTAAATACTTTAATGGTCAAATGCTTCATTTTCTAGGATTAACTCTTAATTTGGATCTTTCTTGGAAACCATATATCAAATCCATTGCAAAATTAGCATCTGCTAAGGTTTCATCTCTTTATCGTATATACTTTATATTCTGAATTCTATATTTTATCTTTATAAATCTCAAATCCGTCCTTGTATGGAATACTGTTGCCTTATCTGGAGCGGACCTTCAAATGATGCCCTTTCTCTTATAGACCGGGTGCAAAAATGCATTGTAAACATAATAGAACCTGTTCTTGCAACCAACCTTTAACCTTTTTTTCTCCCTGATTTATATAATTTGCAATCTTTTAAGTTGTCTGTTAATTGTTGTCTTGCTTTATAAACTTCATATTTTCTCTTCCAGTAACTTCCAACTCTTATAGTGGTTGCTTGCAGTCTTGTTGGAAGTGAAGATGTTTAAAAAAAATGAACAAAAAAATATAAAATTTATTTTGTAAATATATTTGTAAATATATAAAAGAAAAATATAAATTTTACACTTATCATTGTTATTAAATGTTTACAAGTAATGTATTTCTAATGTGAATATGAAGAGTTATTAAAAATCATGTATAATATTTACAGTAATGTGTATGTACCCATAATTGAATTGTTATATGTTTGATGTACCCATAATTGAATTGTTATATGTTTGATGTCATCAAACATATAACAATTTAATTTTAATTATAGAACATATGTAAACATTCAACAACAAATGTAGACATGATTATGGACAGAATATAAAGTAATACAAAATAATAGTCTAAATAAGTATTTATTAGCTAACATTTAACAAAACTTATTTAAATAAAAAATGAAAAAAATCTCTTTATTTTGTCTTACTCTACATTAAAATTATTTTTTAACTTTTCTTTTCGTCATTTTATAAACAGAATGAAAATGTTCTAATTTTATTACTTTATAGAATATCCTCTTGAATCAAGATCAAAGAGGATGTTGATGTTTCAACAGGCGATTCTGAGAAGGTTAATTTGTTTTTTTTTAATGGTTTTTTAATAGTTTGAGAGTTAAGTCTTACTTTTGTATGCAATTTTAGGTTTGACTTTTTGCGTGATCTACCAAAATCTGATTTAACAGATATGAAGCATGCTTATCAATATATTCATTCTTCTGGAAGTGTTCTTATAAAAATAAATGATTTCATGATGACACCAGATGTCAAAATCATCGTTTCAACACCTAATTCAAGTTCAGATGCCACCTCTGGTATTTCAACTTCTAATACAAAATCACCATATGGAAAAAAAAGAAAAAGTAAAGATGATATGTTCGTAAAAATTGACCACAAATTTGATGAAACTGAATCCGAGCGTAAAGAATACGGGTATTTTTGGGTATACAATTATGCTCTTTCTAAAAAATGGCGCTCATCATATACAGGTATATTACAGGTTATTCTCTTTTATTTATATATATATATATATATATATATATATATATATATATATATATATATATATATATATATATATATATATATATATATATATATATATATATATATATATATATATATATATATATATATATATATATATATATATATATATATATATATATATATATATATATATATATAGCAGTTTTATGTTACGCGAAAACATCAAATTATATTTGATGTCGTTTATGTGACGTTTTATTTAGAAGGTATATGGTCATAAATAAAAGCATTTATCCGCAATTAAAACCACATTTGGTCATAAATAAAAACATTCAACCGCAAAAAAAAAGTTTGTTTAATAATTTTTTTTTAATTAAAAATGAATTCAATATATAGTGAGTTTTTAGACTTAAAACAAATAAAGTGTTTTAAGTCTAAAAATTTTATCATATTTAATTAAAAAGTGCATAAAAAAAGTACTTGAATTATTTATGTTAATCATAAGTACTTTTTTGATTAAAGTATTGTCTGATCATCCATTGGCAAGACCCAAGCCAGTTAGTGTGAAAAGGGTTTGTCACCCTTGCCGCAACCCTCTATCCTCCTTAAGTTAAAGGAAGGGAGTCAACATTAGACTTTATAAATTATGAAATAAATGACTATTTAATGTCAAAGCAGCTATTTCGAAGTTTTTCCACTACCAAAAATTTTTTTAGATTGATCATAAAAGGAACGTTGATTAGAAATATTGAACATGTTTATCAGTAGTAGACGAATATTTTACCAAAGTCAAGTTTTTTAAATTCATAATTTAATTATAACTTAAAGTAAAATAATTATTACACTTAATAAGGTTGGCTTTTGTTTAATGCACCTTAAATTTGTTTCTAGACTAGAATTGCTTTAAAAAAAAAATCAACAGCAACGTGTTTTTAATAGAGCAGAATAAACTTCTAGCTTATGATAGTTATTTTTTATTTACTTATGATATTTTCTTTATAAGGGGTTTTATGTTTACTATGGCAACGAATCAAATACTCAATGTTTCTATACTTTTTTTAAATTTTTTTAAATTAATAACATTTTGAATAAAAACACTTTGTCACTTTAAAAACTTTTAAAAAATGGGATCTTTCAGAAATATGTTGTACAAAAACTGTTAAAAAGAATGGAATCACGTATCTTGTAAAAATCTTCTTCAATGTATCTGCACTTTATCAAGATAATATCTTAGCCAATACCAAAGGAGCAATAAAAACATCCACATTACGTTATATAAATAGGACACGTGGCATTATAAAAGATGGCGTTTCTCAGCATTTACAAAGTAGTCCACAGAAATGCATCCAATTTTCAAATGACCTTAAGGAAAATAAAGAAGCAAAAGCAAACAACAAAAATCAACAGGTTAACAGTCAGCATAAAATAACCAAAAGTAAACTGTAATTAAGCAAATAATAGATTTTTAAAGGGATCCCTAAGTGCTATAAAGATATGATCTCATATGAAAGAGCATAAAAAAAAAAAATGTTTGATGTACATTATTTTTTCTAAAACGCAATAATGAACACACACTAACAAATTTAATTTTCAAAAAAACGCTTTTCTTCAATTAAAAAAAATGCGTCTTGTCCAAAGTTTATTGACTCTACTGCCTCAAAAAACTAACGTTATTACGTCAAATTAAACAAAGTAGACAAAATGTCATTATTGCAAACTTATTAGTTGGTAATTAAATTTAAAAGTAAAGTCGTTTTTTTTCAACTAACACATAATTACTTACAAGAATAAGTTTTGTAGCATTATGTGAAAATATATTTGTATATTAAAATTTTTTTTATAATATTAATTTATATATTTGTGTTATAAGGGCAATTCCACGGCTAAAAATGAATAGAAGTCAAATTTTAAACTCTTTTTAGTCAGTTAAAAACAAATGAATATTGACTTAGACATAAGAAAGTTTATTTAAAATATTTCCTTAGTAAAAAAATAAATTTATTTCAGTAATTTTTATGGTTTCAAAAGTGACGGTTACTCTCATTTTTGCTTGATACAAAAAATAATGATTGTAAAATGTTTTAGTTGAATTAACATTTATGTTAAATTGCTATATTTTTTTGGTTCAAATTGATAAGGTTGAATAGACATTTTATTAGAAATTAATCTAAGACAAGGCTCGAATTAATGCAAAAAAATCTAATCGCGAAAAAAATTTTTTTTTTTTTTTGCTCTCTCCCCCTCCCCCCCCTCTCTCTTATAGCTCGCGCCGATGTGCGGTAATGGGGGGAAAAAGTTATCATCAATAAATCAAAAAACATCGTCAAAAACTTAAATACCACGTTTTTTATAATTTATTGTTTCTTGGATAAAGGACTAATAAAAGTTTAAATATAATTAAGTTTTTCATTTAAATGGTTGATGTTTTATTCAATTTTTCTATTTCAAGTTTTCCAATAAAAGATAAAACAAAAAAATTTGGTTTAATAAATCGAATTATACTTCATGTTTAAAAACGTTAAAGTAAAAAAATTGCTGGTTTTTATTAGCATATTTATACTGTTTGAAAAAAAAAAACTAATAAAAAAGAATTAACTAATAATATATTAATTAATAATTATATATTAATTCTTTTTTATTAGTTTTTTTTTTCAAACAGTATAAAAATGCAAATAAAAGTCAGTAATTTTTCTGCTCTAACGTTTTTAAGCCTTATTTTAAACATGAAGTTTTGATAAACAAAGATAAAAACCAACTTTTCAACTTTTCACTTTAACAACCTTGCACACAGAGATTTAAAGTAATTTAAATTCAAAAATGTTTTACGTTGAAAGAAAATCTCCGCGCGAAAGAGCAAATCATCTATTCATCTATCTATTTAGAATAATAAATTTTGTGTGACGTTCTTTATGATTATGAAAAACATTACTTTTAAGAATTGCTAAAAAAAATGCTAAGCTAGAAAAAAAGTAATTAATCAACCAAAAAAAAAACGAGTCGCGAAAAGATTTTTTTAAGAGAAAACTAATCACAAAAGTGTGTGTTGCAATCGCGATCGCGATATGCTTAATACGAGCCCTGTAAGACTTTTTTATAAGTTCTAAACTATTTAAAACTATTACTTATAACTTTTTTTTAACGACGTCTTTCAACCGAATGCTATTATACTGTTTTTGCAAAACTAATTAAAAAAACTTGATTAAAACTTAACTATTTAATCACGACTTTTTTTTACTTGAAAATCGAAGTAGATATTCTAAAGTTGTTGTGACATACTAACGTGATTTTTAACGACTAACAATCGAGTTTCAATCGTGAAAAAATCAAATCAAAATGGAGTTGTTTTTTAGTGATTTTGGCAATTGCTTTTTGTTAGCATGCATTTATTATTACAATTTAGTGAAAAAGAAAAAAAACATATATTTTTTTTATGCTCTTTCATATGAGATCATATGTTAGGAGCACTTAGGGATCCCTTTAAAACATTTTAAGAAAAATAATTATAATCTGTTTCAAATATGAGTTTAGATTTTATTTGTAACTTTTGTTTTAGTTAAAATGTAAAATTTAAGTAAAGGAAAGAAAAAATTGTGTTAATGATTTTAATGTGGTTTGAAAATAACAATGCGGCACTTGAAATTACTCTAGTGATGCAATTTAACTTTTAATGATATAAATATTTAAGCTTGAGTTACTATAAAATGCTTTAATTGTTTTCATTATGCAGCAAAATCTCGTTACAAGGCCTGATATATTTATATTAATGTATATGTATATATATATATATATATATATATATATATATATATATATATATATATATATATATATATATATTAGGGTGGTGCACAAATATATTGACAATTTCAAAAGTTTCAAAAATCAATGTGGTACTTTTTCCTATTGTTCCTTTTATCATTATATTAATTCCTGCAAAATTTAAGCAAATTTGAATGACTTTTAGAGGTCGCTCATGGCCATGTTTCCTCTTTTAATTGCCATTATTTTCCTATTCTAACGTTACTGTGAAGTTTTTAATATGTACATTTGTTTATTTATTTTATTATGACATAACTCTTAATTTGATTTAATTTAATTAATTATGATAATTATTTTAATCGATTTTAAATATTTTTTAAATATATTTTTCTAATTTAATAGTGTGCAACTATCTTTGACAATATACCGCAAAGCATTTTAATTTTTGTTCATATGAGTGCTGATTTGAGGCTTTAAAAAAATAAATTCATTTTGTGATAACAATTGTTTTACTCAGGTTATATTTTGATTTTCAGAAATATCCTGTAATATGAATTCTCAGTTATCTTTCCCTTCGTTTTCGAAAAAAATTGAAATACGAACAACTACTGACATTTATCTTGTTGGGTCTGTTTCTCCAAATATTTCTGGGATGAAGCTTCCAACATGTCGTCAAGTTCTTGCAGTATTTTTTCATCTTCACAAAATAGAAAAACAAACCGTTAGACAAAGTGCAAGGTGTGTCATTCGAGAAGTATTTCATTTGTGGAATATGGCAAGAATTCCAACAACTATTGAACGTAATGCAATTGAAAAACTTGAAAATATTTTTACAAATGGGCTAAAATAAAGAAAAACATGAAACGAGCTTCGGCAACACAAACAGCAAATGAAAATGTTTTTTGTGAAGAAATTGATCGCCTTTTTGATATAGCACATGCTGATGCCATGAGTTTGATTACAATTGAAGAAGACAGACTATTTCTAATAGATCAGTGAGGTGAACGTAAGGGATACATGACCGGAGTTGACATGGCATTGGCAAAAACAGAAGAACGTGTCTAGAAAAGAAAAGAATTAGAAGAGTCCAGACGTTTTCAGGAAAAAAAGCGAAAAAAAGAAGCTGAAAATACAAGTCACATTGATTCAATGCACCTATCTGACAAGTCTACATCTGGCACTGAAACCTCAGATGAAGAATTTATGAAACCAAAGAAATCTAATCAAAATGTTGTAAAAA